CGGTATCGGGCGAGTACTGGAAAAAGTGGTACCGGTGCATCCCTAGTTATTAGTCTGGCCAATATGTTGGTTTATTAATTTCTTGTAATTAAGGAATAGTTTTATGATGGATTGTCTTTCTCTCTTGTTACAGACGTGACAGCCATCATTTTTGTGGTAGCCAGCAGCAGTTATAACATGGTGCTCAGAGAGGACAATCAGACCAACAGACTCCAGGAGGCACTTAACCTGTTCAAGAACATCTGGAATAACAGGTACCCTTTGGACGCCTAAAACACGCTTACACATGTAAAAAGAGGAGGGCTTAATAGGAGTATACTACTGTGCCACTCACATTTTCTTCAGACAATGTGAAAGTCTAGTTTTATGGTCATCTTTTTTCCCACAACTCTTAATCTTTTTCTCTACTCGCTTTCCAGGTGGCTTCGAACTATTTCTGTCATTCTGTTCTTAAACAAGCAGGACTTGCTGGCGGAGAAGGTTTTGGCGGGAAAATCAAAAATTGAGGATTACTTCCCAGAGTTTGCACGCTACACTACACCAGATGATGGTCAGTAAAATAAAATAATGATTTTTAGTGATTGTAGTGATTATCAAATGATTGTATTAATCTAAAGCATAGTAGTAATCCAATGTTGGATTTCACGCCATCAGTGTTACTAACAAGATACTTTCTTTCTAACAGCAACACCAGAGCAAGGGGAAGATCCGCGAGTTACGAGAGCAAAATATTTCATCCGAGATGAGTTCTTGGTGAGTCTGGTTCTACTATGGCACCAAAATCATCATGGCAGCCCATCACCCTGTGTCTTAAACTATGGCATTGGTTTTTTATTATTTAAAAATACACTACAATTCAAAGGTTTTGGCATCAGTCAGTATTTTTTTAATTAATACTTTTATTCATCAAGGATGCATTAAATTGTTTGTGACAGTACCATTCCCTATAAATGCTGTTCCGTTTTTGTTTATATTTCCACAAAAATATTAAGCGGCAACTGTTTTAAACATTAATAATAATAAAAATTGTTTCTTAAGCAGCAAATCAGGAGTAATGATGCTGAAAATTCAGCTTTGCTGAATTTTCACAGAAATTGATTAAATTTTAAAATAAACTAAAATAAAGAGAACAGTTATTTTAAATTGTAATAATATTTCACGATATTATTGTTTTTAGTGTATTTTTGATCAGTGCAGCCTTGGTGAGCATAAGAGGCTTGTTTCAAAAATCTTACCGATCCTAACCAGTAGTGTATATATAAACTCATATATATAAAGGGATATTTAAGTGGATATTTTTTATTTGAATTGAAGAGAGTCACTTACATTGCAGTTTAAATCATGTCTTGTTGCCGGTTCTAATAAAATTACCTTCTGTTTTTTGTTGTTTTGTCTATTTAGAGGATCAGTACAGCGAGTGGAGACGGACGGCACTACTGCTACCCCCACTTCACCTGCGCCGTGGACACGGAAAACATCCGCAGAGTGTTTAACGACTGCAGAGACATCATCCAGCGCATGCACCTACGACAGTACGAACTCTTGTGATCGCAGCAGGGATGACGGGACGCAAACTCACCACCTGAACTTTCTTTAGGCCCCCCTGCCCTACATCACGCCCCAATATCAAACCACAAACTGATGAGTCCCCACCTCTTACACACACACACACACACACACACGTGCATATTATATGTGTATATACACATGTGCATATATATATATATACATACATACATACGGACACACATACACACACATGGCCTTTCTCCATCCTGAGTGACTAGGGGCTGGGGCAAGGGGACGCACTGTGTTACTGATGAAAGCGTGGCTGTGATATCTGGCAAAAAGACTTGTTAACACAGCCAAGGACTACCAATGTTAATAAAAAGAGAGAGAGGAAAACAAAACATGTGAGAGGGAGAGGGAGGGGGGAGAAAAGAGGGAAGAAAAAAAACTGTCCAGAACTGCTCAGGACAAGGAAGCCATTTCGTACACATACAGAC